CCCCCAGGTCTTTTTCCGCCGAGCAGTTTTCCAGCCACATGTACCACTGTCCTGTTGTGGGGCTATCTGGCAAACAGAGGCGAGAAAAGTAATGTCTTTAGTTGTGACAGATAAATTTTCCAGCATAGATCTTCAAAACTGACTCACACACTCTACTTTATCCCCTTAAAAACATACTTTGATAAGTATGATCAAAAAAATTAACACAAAACAAATCAGGGAGCCAATCAGAATGTGTCAGGGCAGGAGTAAGCAAAGAACAAGGAAGGTTATATGTGGATCATTTTCTGGCTGGCAGGTTAATAAACAAAACACGCATGTTTTTTTCCTGAACTTATTGTGGCAAATCAGAAGCGTTCAACTTACTGAAAGGTCTTTGAATCAAATTAGAAAAAGGCTTAATTGGTGAAGCACTAACCTTTGTGGAAAAATCAAATACTGCCTCATGATACACTAAAATGACAGATGAAATGAAAGTATTTTTCAGACATGAGTTACATGCACAGAAATTAAAATTTATGTTTTACATATAGAGAAGTTTATTTGCATAACTATTTGTCACATGCTTTTTATAGCAAGATTTCCTATTTCTTTGCCTGTACACCTCTCCTGAAGTAGCAGCAGCAACTTCCAGCTCTGCCAGTCTGAACTCCAAGTAATTTATAAAATGAGTAGAACAGAAACTACTGTCAAAAAAAATAGCTTTCTTTTAGAAGTTACTGGGTATCATCCAAATCAGACAGTATCTTTTGAGGTTCTCCATTTTCAAAAAATCATCATATTCTTTACTTGTATTTTTGGATTAACTGACTAAATGCATTATTAGTTTTAACATTTTTTAAATTAAAGTTTATTTTGCCTGAGGACAGGCAGCTTGTAGAAAAAGAGGAACTAATTTTTTTATTTCACAGATATTCAAAACATGAAAAGTGTCAAAGGAATCTATCCTTCAGCGAGTCAAATTATTTAAGCATATCTCAACTTACACACTCACTTCAGATTTGAAATTACTAAATATACATTGAAGCTCACCCTGTGTAAAGATAGTATTATAAATAGAAGATATGCAGCATGTAAATATAAAACCATATTGTCATATGTACATATATTTAGTGATTTCAAACATATTTAATCTGAAGCTATTGTTCCTTACAAAATAAATCACAAATATAACATCATCTCTAGTAAATATGTTACCATTTATAAAAACCAAAGTTTAAATTTAGAAAAAAGACGTTAAGATACACAGAGCAGAGACTATAGTGGTAACTGTCCATTCTCTTGCATTCTGTAATGACAGAAGTCACATTTAAGTACTCAAAATTAAGACCTGCACATGGAATCACAAGGCAGTCTTAAAACCAGTCCCTGCTCTTCCAAGTGATTTAGCTGACTTTGACTACAAGACCAATGTCAGTACCTGGAATGGAACCCACATTCTGCAAAGTTAAAGGCATTTCATATCCATTACATCATCTGATACATAGCCATTGTATATGTATACACATCTATTAAAATGATGTCAGAAAGTTTGGAACTAAATCCAGATGTGGATCTTTCCCATCTCTAATTTTTCAGGGACAGCAACACAGTTAACTTCACCAATAAATAAATTAATATCTACATAATGTAAAATGCTTCTGAGCATGCAAAATAGATCTCTAAAAATATGCCCATCTTTCCAATAATTCAGACTTTACATCAAACAGCTTCATAGTATTTCAGACCTCTGTATATAGCCCAGATAATCAGGAACAGTAAGATTTTATTCTCCTAACACCCTGTGAAATAATACAGATTCTCTTAATTTACAGCAAATTAAGGCACAAAGGATAAAACTGAAGAAAATAATTGACTCATGAAATCTTGCACGGATTCCTAACTCCAGTATCATCTTTTTCTGTATGCTCAAAGAACATCATTTATTATTATGGGATAGGGAGCCCTCTGCTGGCTAAAATGCCCTTTTCTGGTCCCAAGGATTCTCGTCAACTATGGGCTGTAAATAGACTGTCATGAGTATTCTGTCTGAAGTCATTTCCACATTAAATTTAAAAAGTAACATGGAAGGGGAAGGATTGGCAAAATTCAGCTACTCACACCTAGCTAGCAGTCAGCTTGTTACAAAAATTCATGCTCCCCTACATCTAATACTGAGGCTGCAATGTGAGTGCTAAAGCATGGATGGGGAACAAACAGTCAGAACTGAGAATGAAGACACGGTCGCTCAGAATGACAAGCTGAAGAAGATGAAATAGAAAAGTCAGAAAAAATCATTAGATGTAGCTCTGAAAAGGCAAATGAGGAGCTTAAATCTTAGTTACACAATGAATTCTGAAAAATCCAGTGTTGTGAGATAGACATGTGGTTTACATCAAAAGTAAACGCATTCCCAAGGTTTGGGGGAGATAGAGGAAAAAAAGTTAAAGCAAAGTCACAGACTGAATGAATCGGTAAGTTATTTTTAGAACATGATGTTTGGCCTCTTGGCTCTTGTTCAAATTTAAGCTAAGTCATTAACTAAGACAACCATTTGACAGTTCCACAGCTTTCCAAGATGAATTTGTGATTAACCTGTGCTGCAAAGGACACACGTCTCTCTCAAAAAACATTATGAGGTTACTCACATTGGCAGTCTATGTGGGGATGCAAAGGACCGAAAGAACAACTATTGTTTTTAATTCCAGGGTAACATTAAGGCGCATGGATAGAGTAATATAAGAAAACCAAATTTGCTGTTTGATTCCAATAGTGAAAGATTCCGGCCTTTGTAGGCTTCGGGCACAGAAGCACACGATTCACCCTCAAATGCAGAAATCTCAGGAAGGAAAGATATCTCTCGCTGAAAAATTTTCAAGTCTTGCAAACCACCATGCCATAAAATCATCTTAGCTTAGCACTGGACATATATTAAGTAATGAACTTGAACAGTTACATTAGTAATGGTGTTTGATTGTAGTAAGAGTTCTTAAGCTCTTAGAGGAGCTATTCAAAAATTTATAGTAAAACAGAGCAGTTAAAAATAGAGTCACTTACCTGGATATATTAAATCTAGTTTCATTTGTAACAATCTTTTCAAAGTTTTCATGTAATCATACAGGTCTTCGATTACTGTTGTTCCTTCTCCTAAAATACAGTCACCAGAAAATACAGCATTTTCTTCTTCTAGATGTAAAGCCATATGATCATCAGTGTGTCCAGGTGTATACAAAACTCTGTTTAAAGGACAACAACAAAAAAAAAATGTAAGTTTTTCATACAGCATATACGCTTCGTTTTCAGAAGCTAGAAACAAATAATGATAAAATCATACACTTACAAAGTCACCCACAACAAGAACCAGAAAAAAATAGACCAAAAAAGGCTGAAATGTCAACATAAACAGGGTAACACTTTGTCTAATCCCAGTCTATTTTCTTATACCATGTAAAGAACATAGATCACCATCTCTAACATGTTTTTATTTACATGACACATCATAATAAAAGTGCATTAAGGGAGCTGGCAAGTCATGTAGAATTTGTGTTACAGAGGGGTTTACTCTGAAGCTTTAAAAAAGAAAAATTGACATGTTATTTCCAGATTGATCTGTGTGAAGTTCTTGACATACACCTTGTACTTAGCAAAAGAGGGCAAGGATGATGTGGCCAATTCTTTTAGAAATTAACTATAAACTTCTGGACCCAAACCAGATAAAGTTCTGTCTCCTGAAATTTATTTTTCCCTGAAAGCCTCATGACAGAGCAAAGCAAAGCTGTCAAATACAGCAAGGAATCACGGTCTTTTAGCTGTTTTATGTGCAGGTCATCAAACATCTGAATGGTAAGGATTTAGGATCCCACAGCTCGAATGAATACTGCATCAGAATGCAGCAAAGAGTGAACGGACAGTAGTAACCTGAGCTGCTAAGGAGCTGCACTGCAGTGTCCTTTCACTACGATTTTTGAAAGGCAGAAGGCCTCATGCTGGGGCTGATTCACACTGAAAGTAACACAACTCAGACCAGCATCACTGCTCAAATTCATCAGAAACTTGTTAATGGCAGATGTATCAAAGCAGTGGTCAGGAACTGACAGAGCTGGTGGCAAGCATGGTCTACAGGCCAATACTAAACAGCACCCAGCCATGTCAGCACAGGGCTGGGAGGTCAGAAGCACAGCACCATCTGATGCAATGAATTCCAGCTCTTACTGAATACTAAGTTCAGCAGAAAGTAGGTGAGCCATCATCCTGCTGAGGCAACATAAAAATCAAGATGATGGGTTGCATCTTGCCTTCATAAGAAGTGGTATCCTCCAGTTCTTGATGACACTTTACCAGGAAGCTTATCCACTCACGTGGAAAAATAAAGGAACCCAACACTGCCCGGCACACCTTGAAAACATGAAGGTTGCTAACTAAAATTTAACATGCAGATACTGCTATCTGGGAATCAGTGGTAGATTTAAGAGCAAGTATCCTTAAAGTGTTTACTGAATTAACCAGGGGAGAATACCTGCTTCTAACCAAGCATAAACTTTGGCTGCATTACCTCATATTTCAAAATGTGCCATCCCTGTGTTACTTGGATTCAAATTTAACAAGTTGTTTTCCATCTCTAAATTGACTTTGTCCAAACATGGACCACTTTGGGTAGTGATAGGTCTTCAATATTCAATATAATACTCTCCACGTATTATTTTTTTTAAACTAACAAAATAAAATGCTTTCGGTCAAATATATTCCTTATTTTCATGTTTTTTCCTTCCAATCAGCCAGCTGGCATATTCTACAAGTGGGATATAATTCACATCTAAACTGAGGAAAACAAGCAATATTTGTCCTGAGAACAGTAATGCCTTGTTAATGAAAGAACTCTGGAAACTGGATGGTCAGGTCTTTTTAGTGTGTGTGTGTGTGTGTGTGTGTGTATATATTTATGTGAGGCAGAGTGGCTTTCCATTTCAGACTCATTCAAGCTAAAAAGACAGGCAATGTGCTCTCTGGGAAGAAACCCTCCTAAATTGGCACCCTACAAGAACCGGACAGGTTAAAGGTTTAAGATTTAACATTTTAAGTATTAAATGTTTCAGTGTCTCCTTGGGAAATCTTTTTAAAGTAAAAAGAAAGGCATGCTAAGTAATCCATCCACACTACCATAAACTTCCCCAAAAGTATCAATTTTAATAATAAGTACTTATCTAAGAGTGATGAAGAAGTATGTAAAATCCTATCTGATTTATTTATGAAATATTTTTCAAGGGAAATTTCTTAATTTCGCTGCTAAAGCCAAAAACCAAAGGCTAATTTCTGATAATCCTCATTCATAAAAAAAAGTCTTTGTATAAACGTAGCCTCCTGGATCGTGACAGGAAGTCTACATGCATTGAGTGTCGAAAAGATTAGATGTATGGATTGCCAATCATTAGAAGTTAGCATATATATGTGTGTCAGAATCCTGAAGAAAAAAGTGATCCAGCAAACTTGCATAAACTGGTGTTTACCTCAGTGTGGCTCCCTCTGTCTGTATGACTTCTCCTTCTTTAAGATAAAAATATTTATGTCCTCCTTCTATTATTTCTTCACAGTGAGGGACACGAGGAAGCTTACAGATGCGATATTCAGATTCTAAATAGAAAGCAAAGAAAATGATATTTTGAATTTGTCAATAACAAAACTAATTCCACAGAAAGGCTACTTTTTGAACAAGTACTATCAATTATTAGACAGTATGAATACAAAACTAGAAACAAGAAATTTTGTACAGTAACTTTGTTTATAAAGCAACCTTATTCCAGAGCCACAAAAACTGAATAGTGAAAGCCACTGAATCTGAATAGTGTATTCTGTACCCGCAGCAATTTTGAAGACAATGAAGCAGAAGTGAAATTAATAAAGAAATGTCAATAATTATTACATTTTACAAATGTTCCTTCTTGACTCATCAAGAGCCAAAAAGTCTAAGTTTCTACACCACCACTAAGATTTCTGCACTTACATTCTGCATTATGATTCACAGAAGCACCATTCAACATTTGCCTAACGCCGGACAGGAGCTTTTTGACCTGCAATTTCCCTCAGCATCTATTGTTCTGAACTGTGCATGAACTGTGAATGCCTTGGCTGGACAGCTATGGATAGCAACCCAGAAAGGTATTTATTTCCCTTGCTAGTCTTTACAACCATGACCATGGGCCCACAAGACCAAAATCCTCACAAAAACATCACTGTTGTTTTCAGTAGTGCCTAGACTTCTTTGCAGATAAGCACCTGGCAACTTTACAAAATCTGATAAAGCCCATGACAAAGCTTGTGACGAAGTCAAACGATGCTAAGAAGTGCAGTATCTATACTGCTTATTCTCTTCCCAGACACTAAAGACGAAACATCACTTACTGTTTATCAACATGAAATACACATTTTTAGATCAGAATTTACCTGCAGACTGATCTACCCTCTTTTCCCTCATGATCTGAGGCCTACAAATTTGTCAGCAATTAATAACGGTCTGCTGTAAGGAATCTCAAAGTTATGCATGCTTCTTTTTCAGAGATTAAGCTATTTATTGTTTTTACACAAGTGAAAATAATGATCAGTTTGTTATTACTGTCAATCTAGAAAGAAGAGTATCAAGTTTTTCTCACATCTCTTAATATCATGTAAACTGCTGATGGTAATCTAGGTTCTCATTATTCACACATAAGAAGAACTCACTATGAAGGTATGCACAGGTATTGAAGGAAAACTGTAGTACTACACCTACAATATTCAGATTATTCATTGCTTTCATTTTACACACTGCAACAGTATCATGAAATTATAGGTAGTTTATATGGAGATGCCAGAAGAATAATCCAGTTGATTTGCACAGAAGCATTCAGTAAAAGTCTTTTCTTGCCACTTATCTAACATTTTCAACAATATCCAAAATCTCTAGCCTACCATTAGGGATGTTTTTGCAGATATCAGGTATTCCACCAGTGTGATCACGATGCCAGTGTGTCACTAAAATTTCTTGAATCGAGATGTTGAACTCTGACAATGCCTGCTTTAAACAGCCAATATATTCAGGAATAGCTGGCTCCCCGGTGTCAATAAGGACTCGTCTACATGTAGAAAAAAAAAATAAAAAGGTTGTGGGGGGGTGAGGAGGAGGAAAAAAACCCTCAGTGAGAGAATTTTGAGTGCTCATGTGACAGTTAAATAATATTAAAAAAAGCACCCAACATTGCATGGAAATGTGGTAATAATGGATGTCTCCATATTCCAGATATCATCTCTTCCCTCCGTGATATTCTACCCCCACGGCATAAGAATTTACAAAGGGGGATAAATAACAAATTTAGTCCACACATTTGAAACTCCCATACAAGTCGCAGGAACTACTGCTTAGCACCTCCGGGGA